ATATTCACTGATTTTAGGTTTCTGCTTTTCAAAGTTCAGTTTGTACAGTTCCTGTGCGACTATGCCAGCGTTATCAAACTGTGTACTATAAAGCATGACTTAAGTACACAGTGCAAGATCAGCCTAAGAGCTACTGTACAGTTCCATACAACACAGCCAGTGCTGTACATATGCTCATTCAAAGTTACAGTACATAGAGTATGCAGTGGCACCCCATTTAATGCTTGCTAATTTAAGATTTTCCCTTATTCAATGTCCAACATAATTGATCTTAATCCAATAATCTGAGTGCTAAAGACACAAACACGTACAATAACTGAGACCCCTATGACCTTCATTAGCAACACCAACTCACCTCAGAGTAATAAGTTTCGACGGGGAGAAGGTATGAGAGAGACCATCGTCGCAGGAACCACATGATAGTGCAGCCCAATTCTGGGCTCAGCAGATGGCCAAGTTTCACTTCCACGGCCCTCCTCTCCACCTCACACAGACGGAACACTGATGCAACCAATCTGTTACCACACACACAAAAGCATAAGAGCTGCTGGTAGTTACAGATCGGGTCACTAGGTGGCAATGAGGGCCTATGCTTCAGTTAGCTTTGCAGCTTTCACCTTCCCCACAAAAGAAAACATGTACATTCAGTGAGACTGTGATTTAAGGCATAAGAGTGGATCACAGGGGAGGGATTTTCTGTAAAACAGGAGCTCCTTACTTCAGAAGCTCAACCCATATCTTTAAGTGCAGAGCATTCAGAGTGCTGCACAAATATTGTGTTTCTGGACATTATCCATTGTCCGGTTTACTTTCAAACAGGACAGTGTTTTAGATAAAAATGGGATGATGGATAATGTCCAGAAACGTAATATTTGTACTAATGTTCCAGCATCACAAACTTTAAGAACTTATTCAGAATACTGTATCATTGCATGGGAATACTGCCAAAATATACATAGAAAGAAATGGAGTGTACAGTATGGAGTCAAAATGGCAGCTATTAGTGAAATTTAGAAAGAGTTTGTTAGCGTTCACTGAAATTGCTCAACCACCAATTGATATTGGCAGTCATATTTTGGCTGAAAGAAGTTGAAGAAAAAGAGTTGTGCGTATATTTGACTAAGCCTGTTTTTGTAAGGAACCTTCACTTGTTCTTAAGTGTAACTTTTCCTTAAACAGCAGCACCACTGAATGCATACTGTTCTTCTATAAAGTTAAGTATCTTAGTATAAATACAACTTCATGTTATTATGATCAAATATTTTTTGCTAAAGACTGTTTTCAACAATTTCCCATTGAGATTTCAAAAACTTTCATGCTAGCTGCTAAAAGAAACAGGCCACTATCAAAAGCACTGAGGATGAAGGTGTAATGATTAGTGAAAGGTAAAGCTGTCAAGCATCATGCCATGAAGTTGTATGGTTGTATCTGGGAAGTATACAGTTCAAATTTAAGCTCCGTGACTGAGATCATTAGTTGCTTGTTCGCCTCTCAAGACAAATGCCAGCGCAGTAACTGCCTCCTTCTGCATTCTTATTTATTCATCATCCAAAACTCTCTTTCCACTTCATCTGACACCATATAATCTCTGCAACTGAACATCACTGTCGAGTGTCATGTTTGGAAGGTCCTGGTTCAAACCTTGGCCTGGAAGCAGACTGATCTGACACAGGTTCTCTGTGGTTGTCTTTAGTCCTTCCTAGCAAATGCTGGGACAATACTTTATGTTAAGCCTCAACCATTTCCACATCTTTTCCAGTTCTTATTCACCAATCAAACTACCTTTCAATGGATAATTTGTTAAATAAACCAAACATAAGTATATAAAAATAACCTTCATAGTTGGAACAGCATCTTATATAATCTAGGCACTGATCTAATATTGCAAGTATCCTCCACTGGATACCATATTATATGAGATAAGGCTACAAGATACTGGATGTTATGTCACCTCACGACATGATCTGAAGACTCGTCAGCCCCCGGGATGTCCGGAAGCTGATGTGTTGGTGATGCAAGGAGCTTCAATGTTGTCTCAACATTCACATGTCCTGAGCTTGCTTGCAGAATACTGTAATGCATTATTTCAGATGGAATAAGTGCTGTCTCCCCTTCACTGTCCATTGTGATTACGTGACCTAGTAAAGACACAGTCGCAGTTAACCTCTGCATTCAAAAACACTAAAGACTGCTACATACCTGTTACTTAGGCTATGACGGCTCACGCTGTCAAATGCCAGCTTGTCCCTGTAAATATATGGCCTCAATCAATTAAGTATTGTTTTCTTTTTCACCAACAGTGTACGTCCAGCTAAAAAACTTAAGTTCTCTAGTGCCCTGCCTCTATTCACCTTTCACCTCTCTCACCATGAAACTTATAAACTACAAATTATGCAACGTAATAACACAATGAATATCCTGTGCCATGGATCTGGAAGTGAACTGCTGGCCTCCCACCATGGAAGCCCAGGTTCAGTCCAAAGGTAGTCCATGTCGAATTTATGGTGGATCAAGTGGGACTGTGATAGGATTTTCTTCGAGCACAAAAGTTTTCCGTAGCTGATTATCATCCCACCAAAGCTCCATTTATCATCAGGGGCTGGTACAATAAGCCCATATGAAGCTGCAGTACCAACAGGCTCAATCTCATTGCACTCCTACAACTAACCTACTACTACTACTACTACTGCCACCACCACCACCACCACCACCACCACTACTGATTTGTCTTCTTCTTCTCCTCTTTCTCCTCGTCCTCCCCCTCCTCTTCCTAGCATCATTCATGGTACATACAGTCCAATGAATGAAAAGCCTCCAATAATGGCTTTCTCCCAAAATCTTTTCTTTTTGATTTCTTTCCAGGTTTTCCTCTCTTCCTGGCTGAATCATCTTGCTGTGGGCAGCCTCACAGATTTCTTTCATTTACATTTTAATTCCCAATCTCCTTGCTCTACACATTCTCTTTGCATGGCCAAACCAATGTAAATGTTTCCCTTCTAACTGCATCAACAAGTTCTAAATTGCAACTTCTGCTTTAGAGCTTCAATTCTTCTTTGTCTCTAGAACACTCCTCAAAATTTCAGTTTCGTGTCTACTGGGGCAAAATGCTGTCCCTCACACTGTTGGTAGCTCCTGAAGATGGGGGCAGTGTACTCTCCCCAAAACAATAATAGCTGCCTATCAGACTACAGAGCAATACATCCCAAAAGACCTTATTTTAATGACTAGCCCATATTTTTAGGCAACAGCTACTTAATAGTAGAGTGAATTTACCGACTACACAACACGTTTTTTATTATCACAACATGTTTCGACCTCAAGAGGTCATCCTCAGGTGTATGAACATGGCTGTATAATTACACGCGGTCACATTCACTTTTCACTCATTCGACCCTGTATCTTTTCCAGATTTACGCTCACTAATATATCGAGTTCTTTTTATAAAACACAGGTTAAAATTATTATTCTAATTTAACTGTTGAAAGTTAAAAGTTCATGAATCAAAGTTCAATTCATGTCACTGGTTACACTTGCACTTGTTTTTACAGTCTCATTTTACTTATGCTCACAACTGTGTCTAGTTCTTTTTTAACTAGTTTAATTATTATTATTATTATTATTATTGGTTAAAAGTTCGTGAATTAAAGTTCAACTTATGTTATTGGTNGTGCAGTCGGTAAATTCACTCTACTATTAAATAAACACACAACAGGATGCAAGAAACGATTAAAATTATTATTAGGATTATAAAGCAATGCAATGAAATAGGCTGAAAATGTTGCACGGATGAAAAGAGAGAAAGATATGCAAAATTCCTTTCCTCCGGGGCCTTTAGTCCACAAGCGAACCATACCGACATAGCGACCGCCGCTTCACCGCGAAGTTAGTGCCATCTTTAGCGGATAAAAGGTGTCGCGTGGTCAGCAGATATGCAAAATGTTGACAGAATAACCTAAGTATAGAGACGATTTGAAAGGCAAAGGAATAGATGGAAGCAAAATTTTAAAACAAAAAATGATGAAGAGTAGTTGTAATCAGGAAGCCGTTATAAAGTCCAGCTCAGTTGTCACTCTCCTTGAAATTTGTTATTTAGTTTATTCCAGTAAGCACAGATGCCTACTAAGATGTTCAGGCAGGTCACATATTGAGTTTTATCCCCAAGGTGATTAACCGTCTCTCAAAGTCCCTACATCTACTAATCCAACTTGTATCAGAGCAGTTAATCACATCATCATATTAGATATAGATTCTATATAGGAAAACTTTCAGCTGTCTGTGACGTAGCTCGCGTGATGTAAAGCGAAATGCACCCACAACATAACCTTTATTGAGAAGTCCAGGTCCATTGCCAAATATGTTTTATTGATGGACGATTCAGTGACATTTTATTGGTATTTATTTTTCTTGTATTTTTGCATTACGCAGTTGTTTTGTTATATTCGATTATATGCAACTTTTAGTAGTTCTTATATATTTTCTGGATACTGAACCGATGTGTTTCGTCTGACCATCGTTCTCATTATATCTCTCACAGTTCTTCAGATCCTAAGGCTCAAGCCGTCTTGGCCTCTTAAACTCATTTGAAGACATTCCCACGTGTTTGCATCTTAAAACACAAAAGTTAGGAAAACTCTCCCAAATATCGACATACATTTTTTTAAACCAAGAAAATTCTAGATTAGAATATCATACATCCTTCAGTTTTGTGCAAAATTCCCTATTTCTGCAATAAATACTAGAGTAAAGATTAATGGTACCACATAGGAAAATAAAAACATTAAGATTGAAATGGGAAGGAGGTGGATAGAAACTGTGGTGACTAATTTTAAAGCCTGTCCCATCATTTACCGGAATGAAACGAGGAAAACCACGAGAAGCTCAGTAGGTATCGTCGATATTAGAGTCTAAGCCCGAGCCCAAATCCACTTACATATGGAACAAGGCTCTTGGTAATGGATTTGTATCACAAATGAATATCATAACCTAAAAGGATGAAAAAATTGCAAAGAAGTCTCTTGGAAAATCTCTGCGTAAAGAATTCGCTTGGAAAGTCTCTGTGCAAGTCTTTCAGTCCGCGGTTCTTCTCCTCGGTCTGCAGACGTCCACACCCAAAATAGTGGGGTTGCAAGCCATAAGAGGCATTACATGACTTATGAAAGTAATTAAGTGTCCAGTTTAACTGTGAATTCATTGTATGTGGCTCATGCCTTACATTCCAATTTGTGCCATTTCTATTCTCCCGGTCACAGAATTTTCAAAAGCCATTAACGTGTTTTACCATTAGTCTGAACAATATTTTATGTAATTTGAAATATGGATAGATCTGTTACATTATTAAAGTGGCTACAAATTATTCAACGTATCCTAGGCTTGTACAAATAGATATTTGTTCTGTACTTCGCAAGATAATTTTGCCATGTTGGCTACCTTGAATGTACATTTGAATTGGCGAATTTGTCCTTTTAACTGTCATATGCTTAAGTCCGTCTGATTGTTTTTTTTTAATTATACCGTTTTCCTTTATTAATATAAATATCCATATACCTTCTAATTTTTTCATTCAATAAGGTCAAGATAAAATATATTTGTACGTCATTTTCCAATTTTGCAAACAACACATGGGCATCTGTGTAAAGTAGAAATTTTCAACGCTTACTTACTTACTTACTTACTTACTTACTTACTCATGGAACTGAGCCCTTCTGGAGGAGCCGCCAATTCTGCAGCTACTCAAGAATTTCCNTCCAAATATTCTCCTCAACACCCTGTTCTCAAACACCCTCAGTCTATGTTCATCCTTTAATGTCAGAGACCAAGTTTCACACCCATACACAACCACAGGCAGAATTATAATTTTGTATATTCTAATTTTTATGTTTTTGGACAACAGACGAGAAGACAAAAGGTTCTGGACTGAAAGGTAGCAAGCATTACCAGAGTTCAATCTCCTCTTAATTTCCTCCTGATTCAGGTTTCGATCTGTTATCGTTGTTCCCAAATATCTGAATTGTGCCTCATTTTCAAAACATCTGTTTCCTATCTTTGTGTCATAATTTTGCCCTGTGTTTTGGTGACGAAACAGCAACATATTGTCACGTGTAGGGTATGTCACGTGACAAATAATTTTACGTGGGTCTCCGATTTAGCGAATCTTTATTGAACATTCACTCTTACACACCGTACAATTGTTATCACTTCAACTGTATTCTGCGGCGGCTATCTTCCAACTGTCTCTGACCGTGGCTGGATCCCAACTGTCTTCTCTCTGTATCGTATGGCGACTAGGTTCCAACCGTCAGTAAGTCTTGGTGTCGAGCCCCATCTGACCGTGGCTGTTGTTGCTGTCTGTGGCTCTCGGCTTATGTAGGTGTTCTGCGGACTCAGTAGAGGACACCCCTTGCCAAGGTTCGATCTCACGTGTTCGGCGATCCGTTGCTTCGGGAACGCTTCTTATACACTGGTAACGAGTTTCGTCTCATCCGTTGCTACTCAACGGCCTTCTGTTGTTCATCTCCGGGGAAACGCGTTCGTTGTTTCGGCATTGTCTACGCATCGGCTCGCTGTTATTGCGTTGCCATGGAAATGCGTATTCCAAACATGTGACAATATACTTGGTTTTCTTAGTGTTTACTTCTAGACCAACATCTTTACTTGCGTCAATTAAAATTTTTGTGTTTCTCTTTGTGGTATCTACATTATCGCCCAGTAAATTCACATCATCAGCGTAGACCAATAGCTGATGTGTCCCATTTAATTTCGGTCCCATCTGGTTTCCCTGGACCTTCCTAATTGCATATTCTAAGGCAAAGTTGAAAAGGAGTGGCGATAAAGCATCTCCTTGTTTTAGACCATTCTGGAGAGGAAATTTATCAGACGAATGTTTACCTACAGGGACTTTTCTATACATTTTGTTTAAACACATTTTAATCAGCCTAACTAGTTTCATGGGTATCCGAACTCTATCAGAATATTGTACAATACTTCCCGCCTAACAGAATCACAGGCTTTCTTGAAGTCTATGAATAGCTGAGGTACTGTCTCATTGTACTCCCATTTTTTCTCCAATATCTGACGAATGCAAAAGATCTGACCAGTAGTTGATCTGTTATGTCGGAACCCACACTGATGATCCCC